AGGTGAAGCAAGACCGAGTATTTGATATAGTGGTTATGGTTGAGGTGTCAGAAACACAAGATTTGAAGAGGATTCAAGGGGAAATTGCAGACAAATTGGGTCTTGAATTCAGGGAAGAGACTGTATCAGGAAGAGCAGATAGACTTTATGACAGATTAAAGAAAGAGAAGAGGATTCTCATAATTTTAGACAACATATGGGAAAAACTTGATCTGGAGGATGTGGGAATTCCTTTTGGAGAGACTCACCAGGGATGCAAGATTCTTTTGACTTCTAGAGATCAAAATGTTTTGTCAATTGTGATGGACAGTCAAAAAAATTTTGGAGTTGGTATTTTAAGAGAAGACGAAGCTTGGATCTTGTTCAAGAAGATGGCAGGTGATAGTGTGGAAAGTCCTGATTTACGATCCATAGCTGTCGAAGTTGCTAAGGAGTGTGCAGGTTTGCCTATTGCTATTGTAACAGTTGCAGGAGCATTGAAAAATAAGAGTTTGCCTTTATGGAAGAATGCTTTGCGAGAACTAAGAAGACCGTCTTCAAGGAATTTCACTGGAATGCAGGCAGTTGTAAGCTCAAGTATAGTGCTTAGTTACAATCATTTGGAAAGTGATGAGCTTAAAGCAACTTTCTTGCTTTGTGGCTTTATGGGTTCTTCAATGATTCTAGACTTGTTGAAGCATGGTATAGGCTTGGGTTTGTTCCACCATGCCAATACAGTGGAGGAAGCACATGATAGAGTACATACTTTGCTCAGCAATCTTGAGGCCTCGGGTCTATTGCTTGACCCTTCAAACAATTCTCAGTTTGCTATACATGATGTTGTACGTGATGTTGCCATTTCAATTGCAGCCCGAGATTGGAACGTTTTTGCATTATTAAGAAATGAGGTTGGACCAAAGGATTGGCCTACTGCAGATTGCACTGGTATATCTTTATTCTATAATGATATTAGTGAGCTCCCTGAGGAGTTGGAATGCCCCAAATTAAGGTTTTTTTACCTTGTTAATAAAAATCCTTCTCTGAGAATTTCAAACAATTTCTTTTCAGCAATGAAAGAATTGAAGGTTCTGGATTTAACTGAAATGCATCTCCCTTCATTACCTTCCTCAATTGGTCTCCTAACTGATCTTCAAACCTTATGTTTGGATCTTTGTTCATTGGAAGATATTGCTATTATTGGACAACTAAAGAAGCTAGAAATTCTCAGTCTTTTGAGATCTAACGTGGAACAACTGCCCAAGGAGTTGAGTCAATTGACTCGGCTACAATTGTTGGATTTGAGTGACTGTTCTAAACTCAAAGTAATTCCAGCAGGGGTAATATCAAGCCTCACACGACTCGAACAGCTCTACATGGGAAATAGCTTTAAAGGATGGGAGGATGAAGAACTAAACAAACAAGCAAGTAATGCTAACCTTTCAGAGGTAACGTACTTGCCTCACTTGATAGTCTTAGAAATACATATTCCAGAAACCCAAATTAGTTTGAAAGATTTGTTCCCTGAAAAGTTAGATAGGTATAAAATATTTATAGGAGATATGTGGGACTGGTCTGGTAAAAATGAAAACTCTAGGACATTGAAACTCAAGTACAGTGCTAGCCCTCATTTAGAAGATGGAATCTATAAATTGTTGAAAAAAACTGAAGACCTGTATTTAGATGAATTGAAGGGTGATGCTAATGTTCTTTGGAAATTAGATAGGGAAGGCTTTCCAAAATTGAAGCATCTCCATGTCCAAAATAGTCCCAATATTCAATATATTGTAAACTCGATGGAGGAGCCATGGGTTAGCTCAAAAGCTTTTCCGATATTGGAGTCACTGTTTCTTCAGAGTCTTATTAACTTGGAAAAGATATGCCACGGGAAGGTTACTGTGGAGTCTTTCAACAAATTAAAAACTATAAAAGTGAGAAGTTGTGGAAGATTGGAGAATCTGTTCAAATTCTCCATGTTCAGGTGCCTTGTTCAGCTTCAAGAAATTGAAGTAACTGATTGTGAGAACATAGCAGGGATTGCTTCCGCAGATAACCAGGTTGCTAATATGTATGGCGAAGCAGCAGATATAATTCAGCTTCCTCAATTACAGATCTTGATTTTACAAAATCTACCATCACTCATTAGCTTTGTGTATGATACTGCACCTTCAACATCTCAAAGTAGAAGTTCAAATCCCATGCCACTTTTAGATGAAAAGGTACTTTTTGACTGATTGCTTATTCAATATGCCTCTTGAATCGTAAATTAAAAGTTAAGTTCCACTTGTTATTTGCTTCTTAAGTTTGACCAGGAATTGTCAATCTTTAAGTTACTTTTCCTTTTCAATGTTTCTGCAGTAAAAGTGGTATTTCAAGAACCATTTTTTCATTTAACTTGTTCCAGTAATAAAAAACTGAAAAATTAGTCCATGAGTCAAATTTTTTGCATGCAGATGTTGTTCTCCAACTTATTGGAATTGAAATTATCCTCAGTGAATGTAGCAAAGATATGGCCTGACCAACCCTTAGCAATGGCATCTTGTATAAAAAATCTGAAAAACTTGACAGTGGAGGGATATGATCGCTTAAAATATCTCTTCCCATCTTCTATGGCTAGAACTCTTGTACAACTCAAAACCATTGTGATACGCAATTGCAAGATCATGGAAACAGTCATAGACATGAAACCTGAGGAAGAAGGAGAAACCAAACACTTTGTGTTCCCTGAACTACATGACCTGAGGCTTGAAAATCTTCCTCAGCTTAATCAGTTTTGCGCTGGAAAATCAATTGAACTTCCATCCCTGAGATTGATGGTGATACGGAAATGCCATGAATTAAGGGCCTTTATCCCTGATGTTATCAGTAAAGGGAGAAAGGATAGTGAAGAATCCGCAAGAAGGGGCCGAGAGAAGGATAGTGATGGTGATTTGGTTTTATTTGATGAAAAGGTTATATATTTCTTTTCCTTAATTATTCAGTTCTCTCTTTTTCATTGTTCTCTTACTTTAAATAATCACTCTCTTTTAGCTATTATTCAACTTGTGCAATAATTTATTCCACAGGTTGGAGTGCCTAATTTGGAGAGGCTAATCCTTGAGCAGATGGATAAAATGGTCCATATATGGCACAAACAACTTGCTCCAGATGCTTTCTCCAAGCTAGATTATATTGCTCTATGGAAATGCAAAAAGTTGTTGCATGTTTTTCCCCCTATTATGATAAACAGGCTTCAGAAACTAGACCGTTTGCGAGTAAATCTCTGTGAGTCTGTACGATGTATATTTGGAAGAGAATGGCCTAATTCCACAGGAAAAAGAATTGAAACAACTACTCAATCAACTGAAGCTGGAACAGCCCTTAGATTTGTATTTCCTCAAGTAACTTTGTTGGAGCTCTGGGACCTACCAGAACTGAACAGTTTCTATCCTGGTGTGCATATTACAAAGTGGCCAATGTTAAGAAGAATGCACTTGCATGGATGTGACAGTGTGAAGATATTGGCTTCAGAATTCCAGTGGTTCCAAGAAAAGCAAAGGAAGAGGCAACCTGAGATTCCAGTTCAACAACCCTTCTTTTTTGTCAATGAGGTATAAGAGAAATCTGATAAAAAGGTCTCCTCCCCGAAAGATGCCTTTATATAATAAAATCCATATAATGTAATAATATATATATGTATGTCCCTAAATTAGATCAGAAGTATAAGTTAGAAGTGTGGACAAGAAATGATTTAGCTTAATTCCTTATCAACTGTCTGGTTTTATTTGAAGTAAACAGCAAGATTAGAACTTGCTAGCTAAATAGTTTTCTAATGTAAATATGCTTGAATTGTGAGATGAAATTCTGATCTATGTTTTACCTTCTCTATCATATAGTTATGATTATTTATTTTTCAGGGTACATTCCCTAATTTGGAGGAGTTAAAATTAGCGCAAATTGGTACCATGACGGATATATGGTGTGGTAAATATTCATCAGTGTATTTCCGCAAATTGAAAGTTCTTGAGCTGATAGGCTTTCTTCAGCAACAAGTTGTTCCTCCCATTGACTTCATTCAATTACTACCCAATCTTGAAAAGCTTCATCTAAATGATGCTCCATTTGAAAGAATTTTCCAAATTACATGGCTTGGTAGCAGAGAAATGCATCCAGGGATGATATCTAAATTAAGCGAGTTAAAGTTGTCTAAACTTCCTTTCTTGAAGCATTTGTGGAGGGAGGAACTCAAACCTGACCAAATTTTTGGGAGCTTGGGGACTGTAGAGTTCAAAAATCCAGTGTCCTTCTCAACAACATTCTGGACTCTGACAATTCTAGAAATCTCAAAATGTCATGGATTGATCAATTTAATGACGCCCCGGATGGCTAACTGCCTATTGCAACTAACAAAACTGAGTATAACTGATTGTGAAAGCTTGTCAGAAATCATAGGTCACACTGGGGAAGAAGTGAAAGACATGATTTTATTCAACAAACTGAAGCATTTGGGACTCTATTCTTTGCCGAGTCTTGCAAGTTTTTGCTTAGGAAATTACACATTTGAATTCCCATCCCTTGAAGAAGTTATCATAAGAGGATGCCCTAGGATGAGGATTTTCTCTGAAGGAGTCTTGAGCACACCAAAGTTACTGAAAATACAGTTGACGGAAGGAGAAGATATGGGGCACTGGAATGGTGACCTTAATACCACCATAAAACGGTTGTTCAGAGAAACAGTATGTTGATAATTCATCAAATTTCTTTCTTGCAAACACACACAAATATTTACATATAGTTTTAGTCATTCAATTATTTATTTTAACAAAAGAATGCAAACTTCTTTGGCATATATATTTTAATTATGATTGTTGTGATTTATTGTTTTGGTAGGTAACTTTTCGTGGATTAGAGCATCTAAAACTGTCAATGTTTCCAGATTTATTAGAAGTATGGAACAGAAGTCCCATTTTGCCTTTGGAGTTTAACACCCTTAAATCACTGGAAGTTCTAAATTGTAACAGCTTGAGATACTTATTCACTCCATCGACTGCACAGAGGCTTGTGCAACTAGAAGAGATGAAAATACAGGATTGTACCACGATGGTAGAAATAATCACTACAGAAGAGGCTGAAGAACCAGCAGTGCAATTCACTTTCCCTTCACTTAAATCTATTTCCCTTGAGTCTTTGCCTAGCCTCACAAGCTTCTGTTCTGCTAGTGATACTGTAGAATGCACATCCCTGGAGAACATTACCATAAAGAATTGTCCCAATATGATAACATTTGCTTCAGTATTTTCAGGGGAACAAGAATTGAATGTAAATGATGGAAGAAACATTAACTATCATAATAATGGAGAGCTTAGTATCCCCATTGCAACCCTTTTCGGGGATAAGGTATGTTTCTCTCTGTCTATATGTCATATCTGTCATTAGGAAGTTCATGCATCCTTTTTCTCTTTGTATTGAATATTCAAATTTTTTACTTTCCTGATATTTCTAAAACTAATGGAACTGAAGATGAAAATGCAAAACTCTGTCATTTGAAGAGAGTATTAGTTCTAAAATTTATCATAATACAGTTTGAAATTTGACAAGGAACTGTGTTTTTTAGTTTACATATTTGATTATAATCTTCAATGTTTTGAATTTTATAAGAATTCTTAATAGAATCTGTCCTCTTTCTTCATCATTTATTTATTCAACCTTATATTTGAAATTCTATACATAATGCATACTCAAAAGTAGTGATGGTTATGTTACTTATGTAGTAGGATTTATTACGTATGTAGGTTGCATTCCCTAAATTGAAGTCACTCCAAATCTCTGGCCTAAATAACTTTAACAAGCTATGGAGCAATCACATTTCAGCTTCCTCTTTGTGTGAACTGCAAAGACTGGAAGTGCGTGACTGTCAAAAACTATCAGTCATTTTTCCATCCGATGTAGCAAAAGGCCTCCTGAAACTTGAGAAACTTTTGGTAGATGTTTGTGGGGCAGAGTACATTATTGACAAAGATGAAGGAGACGAAACCGCACAGAACTTTGTGTTTCCTCAATTAACATCTCTGGAGCTTGGGACTTTGCTCAAACTCAAAAGTTTCTACCCTGGCATGCACACCACGGAATTTCCAAGGCTAACACTATTACATGTGTTTCATTGTGGTGAATTAAGGACATTTCCTATCGAAGTGCGAGAAGCTAGTGGGCTTGTTAATCCAGTTTACCAACCACTGTTTTCAGTTGAGAAGGTATGAGCCTCTTACTTTTAGAATTTTTTAGATATAACCTTAAGTTCCAGGCTTCCAACGGAGACATCTATGGTCAGTCTAAGAAATTAACAACAGAACTACTAGTAGTTATGGTGGTGGTTTCTCTCCTAAAATTCTGGTTTTCATGTTCCATGCTATTACATCTTATACTTTTAATTTCAAAAGAAAAAGTTGTGTTT